CCTTTCAGTCTTTAGGTTTTGATAAGCGTTCTATTGAAGGGATACTTCTATTATCTATTTATGGCTATTACATAGCCCTGGATCAAATGTATGACTATAAGGTTAGCAGTACACTCAAATGTCAAACATCCCAGAAAAAGCTCAGGCCTCCCCAGTCAGCCCATTTTAAATTGGGATATGATTACATCTATGTATTAATGTTAAACCCGGAAACTGCAGGATCTTTAAAAGGGTAATCATGCTGTGGTATTTTAAGTAACACAGTTAGAGAAATGTCCCATTTTTCCGTGTTTTTACATAAATGGCATAATATATGTAATAGGATGTCATGGCTAGGGTCACTTTGGATTACAGTTGAAGGATGCTGTCAGAAACACTGTACCAAACTGCCCCCGTGTGGTGATAACACACATTGCATGGGTTAGTAGGGCAGGAAACACAGGATAATGGTCGTATTTGGATGAATTAATCTACAGTATCTTTCTCTGGTTTCAGTCACAGCACTAGTTTTGGTAATAATGATAGTATAAGAAACCCCTATGAATAAAAATTAAAATCCGAACAAGACACATCGCCTCCAGAAACACTCACGAATGGTGATTAAATTATCAGATTCATTGGGTTTTGATTAAATCTTATAGAGATGACAGATCAATTGAAACTTACTACATGTACATTTCAGGTGTACTGTCATTACCTGTCCTGGAGGAGTCACTGTATGTAAGGTCTCCTCTGAAGGCTCAGGTTACAGGATAGGGTTGCAGACCTTACAGGCTACACAAATAGCCACCTTCACACAGGGTAATGAAGCCTGTCCATACTGCGTTGTCACAGCGACAAGAACACCTGTCCATCAAGGTGTGTATCACTTTTCCAGCTGACAGACCCCAGAACCAGAGAAGAGAGAAGAAACAAAGTTTGGACAGAAGAGAGAGACGATCGTTGGTATGTTTGGGGAAATATCCATTTAAAGCTACTGATCTTGACACGGAGGTGTGAAGTAAGTCTGTACCTGTTATCTCACTCTACACGATCCTCCAGTCTGGTTACACACGTTATGAAGTAGCTTTCATTTCTTTCTTCTTCTCGCCAGCTAAGTCTTCATGGCTGAAGCCACCAGCACAAGAAGCAACAGTGGAGGTTTAGGCAGTGGAGGGGCTGGGGGAGTGCGTGTCCCCCAGGAGCCTTCTCTCAAAGCTGGCGTGGTGTTGTCAGATGAGAGAGTTGACTTCCTTCGGGAGCAGGTCTTCTGTGTGCTGCGAGTGAAGACTGATAAGTGGAACCGCTTCATTGGTGCGGAGGAGAACCAGAAGATTATACTGGATTTTCTGGACCACATCTGGACCAACAGGCTGCTGCTCTTCACTGGACCTGGAGGGACACTGCATGCGGGAGACGCTCAAGTAAGAAATACACACACACACGCACACAATGATAAATCCCAGCAGGCATGAAGTGAGTGTATAAAAAGTTCAGGCACCTGCTTTCATAAATGTGTCATTTTCTTTTTCCATCTCCTCACCTTGACTAAGTCAATTTTGTAGGCAAATCCAATTATGGTAATATCCTTGAGTAAATATTTAATAGAGCAGTTCATCTATTGTTTTCTGTGTGCAAAGTATGTTGGAAATTCTGTGTACGGGTATTCCTGAGGTAAGGATACTGTGAAAAGGGTGATGAGGTCTGTTTGCCTGGCTGGCGTGAATTAATTAATCAAAAAGTTAGCAGCAAAAGTCCTCGTATTCTGTGTATTTTCTACAAACACAGTCATGAACACACAGTTACAAAATGAACACTGTATTTGGCTCTTAACCAAGACAAAAAGCTGGCAGGCAGGTTTCAAAGCGTTAAACATCTCCCGGGCTTGCTGTTAACACACTCCGTCTAACATACACATTTTTTGAAATAAGTCGCTACTTATTTCTGGTGCTTTCAATGCCGTTGAAAGCGTTCCTACTGTTTTTGCATCTGCAAAGACGTCGCCACCATGGAAGGCCAAGCTGCTGTGTGTTCTCAAGAAAGGCGTGAAGAGAATTGCCCGTCAAGGATTCAGGCACCAGTTCTGGCTGGGAGAAGTGCCTGGATACCCAATGGAGCATCTGCCTGTTGTCATCGCTGAGGTTGGGTACTGTGTGTTTGTATGTGAATACGTGACCAAGTATGTTTGACAGTAGTTATGTGCACAACTGCACCCATGTCGCCCATGAATGCAAGGCCTTTCTGCATGGTGTGTCTCAAACAGGATACATGCTCACACTTACTTTAAAACCAGCTTGTGTGTCCAGGTGCTGGTGTGTGTGCTGTCCAACGGTCTGAACCATGACAACTGGCCGCGGGTGGTGTCTGATGACATCCACAGGCACCTGGAGAGGTTGAGGAACAAAGTGGTGACTCTAAGGGGCCGCGCAGAGGGCCGAACACTGCTGCCCCTGCCACTGTGTGTGGAGAGGGCACGGCCTCAGGACATTGCGCTCAGGTAAGTGTGCAGTTATGGTAGCAAGTGTCCAAAAATAAATAAATGCAGCGTATAAAATAAAATAAGCCTTGGCTTAGCTTTATTTGCAATTTTCAATGCACATTTCTCATGATTCACCCAAATAATTCATGGGGCATTTAGTCACAATGCAAATTCACTTACAGAGCCACGGATGAAATGAACCTGCCAACGTGGTAATAGCTGTATCTTCAAACACAATGCATAGGAATGAGCATGACACTGCTCTACTGCCAATAAAGGCTCAGACTGAGCAGTGGAAAGCTGTTTAGCCTCCTTGAAACATCCATTACCATCTCTCGCCTAAGTGTATACGTCCTGTAAGCACATCTACACACTGATAAAGATGTGCTTTTCCTTTCAATGTTTTGCTAACTATACCCAGTGATAGTTGTGGTAAAAAAAAAAAAAAAAACTAGCAGCTAATTGCCATATGATTCAAACAGCTCTCATTTAACAATATTAAATGCATAAGTCACAACTAGCTAGCGTGTCAGGAAGCTAAGCTACCAAACTGAATGAGGGCTACTCGCTTGCATTGGTTAACTTTTTTACAGAGCATGCCCACATGTCTCAATTGCAATATAGTGTGAATAAATAATTGTATTTCATTTTCACTTGATTAAAAAAAAAAAGGAGTGGTGGGCTACTAACCATATCCGCAGAGCGCCGTTAAACTCATACACACCTGTTGTCTAATAATTGCAAAGCGATTACGTCTTGCAACTTTTGGAAGAAACCAATACCAGAGGGAAGGGGTGTGTGTGATTTTTTTTTTCGGCATAAACTTCGATACAAATATAAGAATCTGTTTGAGTCGTGGTTTTTAAAAAAGTTATCATGACTACATATCAAAATCCGGTAAGACACATCCTCTCCCTCCAGTTTAAATGGTGATGATGGGTTTGTTGTGTGGGTGGTGTGCGTTTTATCAATCAG